AATTAGAAATTCTGGATCCTTTATTATGTTTATTTTTTCAGTGTAGGTAGTTAAGTTGAATAATGATTTATCTCTTTGAAACATTCCAGGGCTTTATTCGATCAGCACAATGTCATAAACAACTAGGGAAATCTATAGCATGGATTTTTAACCTTTTTTGTGTTGTGGACCCATTTGGCAATCTGGTGAAGCCTATAGACTCCTTCTCAGAATAATGTTTTAAACACATAAAATGCATAGGAATACAAAGGAAACCAATTATACTAAAATCAAACAATCAAAACTTTAAAAAAAAAGTTCATGGATCCCACATTTAGAACTTATCATCTGAAGAGCATTTATTGGGAATCCTTCAATATGGAATCTATTCTGGATCTCCTCCAATAGCTGTTCCTGTCTTCATCTTTCTTAACCTCTTTGCAATATTTGATTCAGTTGACGGCTCCCTCCTTCTGGGAACTGTCTCCTCCCTATATTTTCATGACACTGGTCTGTTTCCACCTCTCTGCATCATAGGCATTTCAAAGTAAACATGTGCAAAACTTCACTCATTTATTTTCTTTCTAAAACTTCCATTCCTCTTAACTTATATATTTCTACCGAAGGCATTGCTATTCTTCCAATTCTCCAGGTTCACAACCTAGAAATCATTCGCAGCTACTAACTCTCACTAAGCTCTCCAATACCTAAGCAACTGGCAAGTCTTGTCAATTCCACATCATCAGTATCTCTTTATTATGTCTCTCCTGTGTCTTCATACCATAATCACCCTAGTCCAGGACCCCAACACAGCCCACTTGAACTAATAAAGATCTTGATCATGCCGCTATTTTCACTAAGAAGCTTAAGAGGACCCATTTAATCTTTAATACAAAGTAAATACTGCTTTCTTGAGCTTTTATATTCTTTCACAGTGTGTCTTTACCTTGTCTTCCCAGGTTAGTTATACATCAGTACCTTCACATACACTGTGCTGTAGCCAAACTGGTCTCCCTTAATGTTCCTAATCCATGAAAGTCCATCTCTCATTTCTTTACACAGCCTTTCCTCCATGGTCTTTCTCCTCACCTCTACCTTTTAGATTCCTTGGCTCCATTCTCAACTCTGATCAAAATTTTTCTCCTTAAAAAGGCCTTTCCTGATTATCCCATTTATGTGATACCTTCCAAGCCATAGGATCATAGATTTAGAGATGGAAGGAACCTTCAGGTATAACCGCTTTAATTTATAGATGAGGAAACAGAGGTCTAGAGAGGTTAACTGATTTGCCCAGGGTCACGGAGCTAATAAGTGTCCAACATAGGATCTGGACTCGATCTTGATACCCTTCACTGTGCCACTATGTTGCTTGTTACTTTGTATTTATCTTGTACATGTGCTTTATTTACATATTTATGAACATGGTGTTTCCTTCATGATGATCCCTGCTTTTCCAGAGTAGGGATTTTATCACTTTTGCATTTGTATCCCTAGTGCCCAGCTCTATACTCAGCACACAATAGATGTTAAATAAATACTTGTAAATTGATCATTTACAATAGTCTTTCTGTTTCCTCCCCATAGCTTTATCAAGGATACTCTTAATGCTTACATAGATTAATCTCAAAATATTTTGTATTTGAAAAAAAATTAGGTATGTCTCAGGAATTATTAACATTCTCTTGGTCACCTTTGTTGGTAACAGTAGGATCTAGGATTTTTTTTTACATATAATTACAAAGGTAAAGATTCACATCTTTCAGACAACAACTTAAAGATATCAATCCTCCCACAGATCACTACAGTTAAAATGCAACAAAGAATTTAGTATCCGAGAACAAAGTCCCAACTATGGCATGTTAAACTAGCGGTTGGACAGATGCTTGAGTGAACAGAAGCACCTTCCTAGTGCCTTTGACATTGCATCATTCAGGCAATAACCCATTGTATTTATTGGCCCCAGCCTCACCATTATTTCCAGATTAAATGACCCTTGGACTATACCAATCAATCAACAAGTATTTATTAAATGCCTACTATGTACATATAATAAGTCCATATATAGGCATATACAGCATAAATATAAAGAGACTAAAGACAAAGTAGTTAACTACAAGGCAAAGAACTCTAGCCATCAAAAGAATCAGGAAGAGCTTCACATAAAAGTTGTTGTGTTGTGTGGTTTGTCCTTCATTCTCGAAGAGGACCATAACGTCAGGAAGATGATGCCACGATTTGCAAGTAAATTGGATTACAGTGAGGGAGGGCTGTGCAAAGTCACCAACATCACTTTCCCCTCCAAAGCCATCTGTGTTCATTGGCCAGATATAGATCAGGACAACTGGAGATGGCCTAGAATATAGTGGGAGACCTTGGCCTTTTTAAGCTCAGGTCTTTCTGAGTTCTCACTTTGACCAAGGCAACCTTCACATAAAAGTAGCTGCATCTTAAAAGAAGAGAAGGAATCTATAAGGCAGGGTTGAAGAAGGCATATATTCAAGGCATTGGGGACAGCCAGTGCAAAGGCATGGTGATGGGAGATGGAAGATTGAGAATCATTTGTGAAGAACAAAGAGAAGGCCAGTTTGGTTGGATTGCATAACACAGGAGGGGAAGCCATGGGCTTTAAGGCTAAAACGATATGTTGAGGCCAGGTTATGCAGAGCTTTAAAAGCTAAACAGACAAGATTATAGTTAATCTTAGAGCTTTTATATTTTTCTAAATTTTATCCTAGCCTATATTTTATTTTAGGGTCAATGGGAAGGCACTGGAGTTGATTGAGCAGGGAAGTGGCAAAATCAGATCTGTGCTTAAGGAAAATCATTTTGGCAGCAATAAAGAAAGTGAACTAGGATAGTGAGATACTTGAGACCAGGTGACAAGAAGCTGTTGTAATAATCTAGTGGAGATGTGATTAGGACCTGAACTAGCGAGATAGCTGTGTGAGTGGAGAGAAAGGATTCTGATGGGAGAGATACTATGGAGGTAGAAACAGCAAAGTCTGACAACTAACTGAATATGAGTTGAGGGAAACTGAGAACAATGCTGAAGTTATGCATTTCAGAGCCTGGAAGAAGGGAAGAGAATAAGCATTTATATATTGCCTACTATGTGCTAGGCACTGAGCTAATTGCTTTTACAAATATTATCTCATCTGACCCCTCACAATAACCCTGAAGGGTAGGGGCTATTATTATCCATGTTTTAACATTGAGGAAAATAAGGCAGACAGAGGTTAAGTGACTTGCCCAGGGTCACATAGCTAGTAAGCATGGGGCAGGATTCCAATGCAGTGCTTCCTAACTCCAAGTCCAGCACTCTGTTCATTGTCTCGATGACTCAATGACAGAAATAGTGGTACCCTTGAGAGAAATAGGGAAGTTTGGAAGACGGGTGAGTTGGAGGTAGGAGTAGAGATGATGAGTTCAATTTTTGAACATGTTATGTTTGAGATGTCTCTAAGATGTCATCCAAGAAGCAATTGGCAATGAGTAACAAGACACAGATCTCTATAGCCTTGAACAAAATGAGCTTTATATTAAATTCTGCTATGATTCTAGGACTTGGAAGTCCCAAAATCTGTTTTGAGCTGTTTTCTCCTGAGAGGGATAGCTGAGTGTTGGACATGTCCCTAAGTAACCCAGAAGTGCTGAGAACTATTAGCAAATATGCTCATTCAGTTGAGTACCTTAGGAGATAAAACATTTATGTTCTGATGCCACATTTTAGAAACTATCTCTGCAACATTCTCATTTATTAATGCATGTGCATCCTAAAAGATTTCATTTATTAGAAATAATTCTTACAGTAGCCTTGTTTGGTGGTGTGTATGCTTTTGAACTTCTGGAAATCCTGCAGAACAAAGTGTTACAGTAGCTTCTCCTGGAAATCTGGGGGCCTAGAGCAAGCAAGGGCAGTATATCCTCAAGGGCCTAATTAAATTCCCAGTCAGTGCCTTGACCCTGGGCAGGGTGCTTGCAGAAACAGGCTAATGACTCCGCTGCCGATTCCAACGTGTAAAGCACTGAGCTGTCTCTATGGCTAAACTGGAGACTGCCAGCTGGCCCTGTGCCAGGCAAGCTAAGCATGGTGTGATAATTACAGAAGCAGTCACATGGATACATCACCAGCCAAGACTGTAGCACAAAAAAAGACAAGTTCAAGTGCCAATTAGACAACAACAGACCCCTAGAGCAAGATTTTTTTCACAACCTCAAGACCTGACAGGAACAAACTGTAAGCAGGAGTGAAAAAGCCAAAGTAGACCTGAAGAAAAATCACATTCATAGATCAAAAGGATACATGCATCCTGGATAGTAGTTTAAGGTCACAACTAATGTAAAAAAGCAATGATATGTCTTTCTTCTGACTACTTTAATTCTTTTTTGGTGGCATACTTTAAAATAGTTACCATGAGAGGAATCATTAAGTCATAAAATTTAGAACTTGAAGGGAGCTTTGAGAGAGGAAGTAGAAAGAAAAAGAAAGAAAGAAAGAAAGAAAGAAAGAAAGAAAGAAAGAAAGAAA